TTAGTTTCCCGTTTTTCCGAAAAACCAAAAAACGACTGATTCTTTTTTAAACGTTGTTAATATATTTTGGATGCATATTGTTCTAGTATTTGTTAAGGCTGTTACAGACAATTAGTCTCTGTTGCTACCTGCTGTTGAGTAAATATTAAAAATCTGTTAAAATTGACTCTTTTTTTTAATGTATCTGCCAATCCTTGGCACAATAAAGGTTGGGAACCCCTGCTTTAGATGACACATGCTTTTAGTGGACAGGCCTTTCCTTACATTCCCAGTGTTTTTTTTTTATAATACCTCATTACCTTTTAGTAATAAGCCTCACTTTTTCTGATCCGGAGGTGTGAAGCATGGGCCGTAAAAAAGAACCTGTTACATTTTGGAGCGGATCCAAATCTCAGTCAGTCAATCAATAAATTGTATTTATACATCCTAATGTCACAAACTACTCCTGTGTCTCAGGGGGGTCAACAGTGTGAACAGCCTCTGACCCCCTCTGTGCTGAGATCCTCGCAGCATACAAAGCAGCCCCAGACTGAACATCAAAACATGTTAGAAACCTCTGGGCGTGAACAGTGTGTGTAGATAGATAGATTAAAAAGATAATTTTCAACATAGTCACCGAAAATAATCCTTTGCTGTGAAGCCCATACAATCACCTCCTGAGACAAAGTTAGTTGTATAAAGTCCCCCTGTGTGCACGCGTCACATTATCTCATAGCCCCAATCAGTTGTGTGTTGTTCCACAAAAGGAAAAAAAGGTTGCATCTGCAAAGTGGTCGATATGTTGTGAACTTCAACAAATATTACAAATCCATTTAAATGACAGCTTATTATGCAATAAACCAGGGAAAATGGCAAGGGAGATTGAGGAATGAATTCCGGGACATGGAAGAATCTGATGGGCAGTGAATGCACCATGAGCCTTGGCAGAGGTCTATGCTCTCCTGTTAAAACTTTTGCATTTTTCAGATGATGTGGATACATTTCTAACTGGGGGAATACAATCTTTGAAAAGGACATGACACAATCAGCTTAAAGTCAGATCTCCCTGCTGCTCTGATTCTCCTGGTGTGACAGTTTCCTGTCTGACAAATTATCTGTAGCCGAGCGCAGAGTGCACACAGCAGGGTGAGATCGGACCTCCACCTGCTGTGGTTTCTCTGGATGTGTAACAGTCCCTCTGGTGTGTGCAGATGTGTCGGGGGAGGGCAGTCAGAGTGGAGCTCAGTTCCAGGGCCGTCCCAGCGAGGTGTGGTCCCAGTGGCAGAACCAGCACCACAGCCAGCAGGCGGGGGAGCAGCACACACACCCCAACCCCAGCCAGACAGAGGTGTTCCAGGTAACACACGCATTCACACACACACACACACACTCACTCACTTGCACTGCTGCAGGCTGCAGTTGAAATGACCTCTGGTACCAATATTTATGTGCCTGATATCAGTGTTGGAAGAAGTACTCGGATCCTTTACTTAAGTACAAGTACTATGGTCTTAATATATTCCACTACAAGTTCTTATTTCAAAATTCTACTCAAGTAAAAGTACAAAAGTAATAGCATCAAAATATACTTAAAGTGCAAAAAGTACTCATTCTGCGACCCGTTTCAGAATAATATAAAGTAGTAGTATAATGTCAAGTGTTTTCAGCTAAATGTACTTCAAGTATCAACAGTGAAAGTACTTGGTATGCAGAATGGGTATTTTCACAGTATTTTATTATTATGGTTCTAATATTATCTTGTTTTTCTACATAGCATTTAAGTTGTACACAACTGGATTAAACCACATCAGCATATATGTGTTATTATGGGAACAAAGTAACTGAGTGTTTAAATAAATGCAGTGGCGTAAAAATAACTATATTCACCTCTGAAACGTAGAGGAGTGGTTGCATGAAGTACAAATGTGTCGCAAAAGAAAACATTTGATCACCAAAATAAATATTTGATCACCAAAAATGTGTCAACAAAGTACAACACTTATGTAAATCTACTTGGTTACTGTCCACCACTGCCTGATATTACTTCAGTTATTTGCTTTTTTTTATATTTCATTTGCATAAATAAGTTATAAAAGCACAGCATGTTGTGTAAGTGAACCTGACCATGTCCCTTTAATGTTTGCCTCTACTCAGCTGTGTGATGTCTCTGTGTCTCTGCAGGACATGTTACCCATGGCTGGAGACCCCACCCAGGGAACAGCCAACTACAACATAGAGGACTTCGCTGACCTCGGCATGTTTCCCCCCTTCTCTGAGTAACACCCCCTTTCCCATCCCCACCCTCAGAACTGGACTGATGTCTCGTCGTTGTCTCATGTTTCTTTATTGCTGGATCCACACAGCTGATGTGCAGCACAGTGAATGTCTGCGTCTCTTTTCAAACACACTTCACTTATCAAGCCTGCAGTCTGTATCTATGACCATACACATACCTCATCTCTGCAGGCTGGTGGGTTGCACATCCGTCATCCTGCATCACTCCCTGTGTGTGAGGCTGCTGAACACATGCTGAGGAGCTCCTGCAGTCCAGAGGTCGGAACATTAAATATAGCTGTACTCGTCAGAGACTAGTTTATTACTATTTTACTTCCTATGTTTCAGATTTGACAAAGCAAAAATTCCAAAAAGATGATCATGAAATCCTATCAGTCAGCGGTTCATGTCTGCAAGCATCTGCACCGAGAACCAAAATGTACTAGTGTTCCAACAAATAGTCTGCACCCATTGATGTAGACGAGTTTCCACTGCTGTCCACATCTGTTCGGAGTATATCATGTTTTCAGGATTCAATAATAAGTCAAACATTTGAAAAAACTAATTTATAAGTCATTCCTCCCTTATGCTGTGTGCTGTGCTGTCACTGACAGAGTGGTGCCAAGCATTAACACCAGTGCGGTCACCATGAAACTCAGAGTCCCTCAGCATGTCACTACAGATGAACTGATGGTGTTCATGTATAGCTGACACTTGCACAGCAACTTTACATTCCATTTCAAAAAGGCTAAATAAAAGCATCAATCACTGCTTATCTGTGGAGGAATTTAGAACTCAAGAGAAGTTGCACAAATCTTGCTCAACTGTGTGTTAGGAAACAACATTGGCGTACTCTGCAAATTGAGAACTGTTCTTAAAGAGGCTCATTCTGCTGTTCTGCTTCCCTTCCTGCAGTGTGTTCTAAAGGTTTGTGTGCATGTTAATGGTCTGCAAAGGCTCAAATCCCTCAGACGGAGGGTGAAAACAGGTGCTGCAGCACTGGAAGTATGAGAAAAA